CTTACATATATTTCATGTCTAATAGTTTAAGGAATAGGAAGAGGTGAAAATTGCCTAACTTCCATTCGATGTTTGGTACATTCAAAAATGTTTTAGGTGGAAAAAATCGAAAAGAAATATTTTTTATTTACACTTCTGCGAATATACAATATGTGTGATTTTTGAAATTTTCAGCCATGAAATATTTGTTGTTACCTTGTCTATTTGACAGCTTCTTCATACTGCAGGCATTGTTACATATTTTGCTGTAAACTGAATTCTTTTTAAAAATTGAAATATTCCCAAGCTATTTTACATATACATATATGCGAGAGCTTTTAGTGTGAAACGTATATACGATATATGCCACATTAGCAGACAAACTCAATCCCCCGTACACTCAATTGATTTAAAAAAAAAAAGAAAACATAACAAAATGTAGCCATCACTCAATGGGGGAAAAAATGAAAATAGTTCTCGCAGCAGTGACTACTATATGTATTTATGTATAGCTAGTTATATGTACATACATATACGCGAGTAGCAAAAACTACAGTATTGCAGAACGAAGGTGCGAGATATTTTATAAGTAAACAAGTTTTCGGATTTTTTTAGTAAACAAATTTTTAAATAAAAATAAATACTTAAAACATATTTTTTATTAGAAAAGAATTATAGTTTGATTTTCCATAAATACTGTTGATAATTTTTTCTGTTTATAAGGTGAAAAATTTAGGCTGCTGCCATAGTGAGTTCAATCTGTTTACTTATTATATAATAATAAATATATTTAATAATTGTATTTAGATCTGAAATAAATGGTAGAACGCTTCTAAGCATAATATGTAGCAGATTTTTTATAACCATTCTTTATTAAGTGTTTGGTTTAGCAACAGCCTAATTTGAGCCCAGCAGTGCGTATGAGTGATATTTTTTCTTAATTACGTTAAGCAATAATTTTCTGCTTATAGAAATAATATAGAGTGAATTTAACTGTTTTGTTCTTAATTTTTGTAATTTTTAATTAATACTTTGAATTTTTGAGTAAAACATTTTCATGGCTTTAAATTTTACAACTACTCGCAGCTGTGCTGATTTATTATTTTTCAATTGATATTAAGCATTTCTCAATTTTTTTATATAATTAAAAATGTTTCAAAGCTTTTGGTCGCATTTGTTTTTAAGTTTTCTTATAATATGAGTAATTTATATTATATCATAATTATATAAAATTAAATTTTAACGCTCAGCAGCGCGTATGAGCGATATTTGCCTGCCTACACCATTTCGATACGAATAAAAGGAAATTTTTATTAAATCCCAATTTATACATTTTAAAATTAAAAAGAAGGCATGTTTGAAGCACACAATTAAATCTTTAATTTAACTTTTTTCAGCGTTTTCATTTAACTAAATTTCTTAGAATAAAATTTTTAACGTTACTAAATTTTCTTTTTTACAAATTTTTCCTTTTTTTATTTTGAATTATTCCACTTTAGGCGTTGGGTTTATAGTTGCAATGAATTGTATTATTGATTATGCCTTCACTCTGCAAAAATTAAATTTTAAAGCTCCGCGGCGTATGAGTGATATATTTTTGTTCCAGCATTTTAATAAAAATAAATTGAAAAATTTATACAATTTGTTTTTTTTCTTATGCTGTTGAATTGTTTATGGTTTTTTATTTTTTGGAAATAAGGAAAAAATTACAATAGTTTTGAATGGTTTTCATAATTTATTTCTAAAATTCATCAAAATTTTAGGCAAAATATCACGTAAATATGAAAGGAAAGCATGCAATTTTTTAATATTGTAAACCAAGCTAAATTCCTTAAATTTTAATTTTTACGTTTTATTAAATGTTTTAATAATTTTTGATGTTTTTAAATTAATAAAATATAAGATTTGCATCGTTTGATTTATATCATGTCTAATATACGTTAAGCTGAATTTAAAGCCCAGCAGGGCGTATGAGTGATAATTTTTGCCCCCATACTCCTATGCTAATAAACGATAATTTTATGTAGTGCTTTAAAACAGCACTGCGTTATACATATATGTAAGAATACATTGCTTTCAAAGCACAAAAGTTATATTAAAAAATATCTACTATTATTAATTAATTAATTTTGAATACTCCAATTATAACCTAATAAAAAAAAATATTTTACACAAAAAATCTAAATTTTAAATATTTCAAACTTAAAAATAATAATAATATTATATCAAAAATTTTTATTTATCAAATAAAAGCAAAATGATCAAATTATCACTCCATCAATAATCATTATTCAGTATTTTATGCACAGAAAAATTAATTGAAATACTTCAAAATTGTAATTTCGGAATTGAAATATTTTCAAAATGATATATTATAAAAGATACTTCAAAACTACAATTTCGCAACATAATATTTCTGCAAAAAGTAATATGCAAATACGTGCTTCAAATATGAATATGTGCGGGAAATAATTTAATTAAATAATAATGAAAATAATAATAAATAATTATTATAATATTTCTAAAATAATTCTGCACCCAAAAAAATTTTAATTTTTTTCAAATCTATAATTTAAAAATATAAAAAATGTTTTTTGTATTCTCAGCTCCATTTTGAACATTCTATAATAATAATATAATGATATTAAATAATTCTACATTAATTTTGTACCAAACAAAGAAATTATAATTCTAATATTTAATAAAAAAATATTTCAACAAATTTTATTTATTATAAATGTAGCTCCAATTAAAATAATAAAGCGGAATAAAATTTAAAATATTTTCACAATGACTTTACAACAAAAGCAATTAATTTTATACACTTTGGAATTATATAAAAAGTAATCAAATTAATATTGCACAGATCTTATAACAACAAAAGAGAAAAAAATAATTAAAAACTTTAAATTTTTCAAAATTATAATATTTTGGTTTTGATTATTTTGATTTTTTACGAAAATTGTATTATACAAATATTAAATATTATTAAATATATTTTAACGATTTTTTTTAAACAAGCAAAAGTTATATTTAATAATTTAAAATAAAAATTTTATTAAAGAAAATAGAAATTTTTCTACAAGTTTTTATAAGAATAAATCTATTTTATGAATTTTAAAATTCTATAGGAAATATAAAAAAAATTTACATTGATTTTAAGCAAAAGAACTATTTTTAACGCTTCAAAAAAAAAATATATAAACACCCTTACAAGGATTTTATATAGAGAAAAAGATATTTTTTTATATTTTAGGCCGATAGCCCCAGCTACTAGTTTTCTTTAATTTAGTGTAAATATTAATAAAAAATTTTCATACAAATAAATAAATAAATGTTATATATTTTGAAATTATATAAAAATTAATAAATATATTTTGATGTAGATTTTACACAAAAATAAAAAAATGTATGAAAATTTCATTTTTTGAAAAAAAAAATAATAAATACTAAAAATAATAAATTTTAAACTATTTTACATTTTGAGTTTAATGATCAACGTATTTTCGTAATTATTTTATACCGAAATGAAGTGGTTCAGCAAAAAAAAAAATAAATTAAATACTTCTATATTAAAATTCGAATACAAAAATTCCTTGCAAACCTTTAATATCAAATGAAAAATATTTTTGAATGCGCCAAAATTATAACTTAATAATAAAAATATTTTTAAAAAGATAACCTCAAAGTATTTTATAAAAAAATAGATTTAAGATAATTAAAAAATAAAAAAAAGCGTAATAGTTTTTTCAACCTACAACTCTTTTTTATATAAATTAAAAAAATTATTTCTTAAAAAAAAATAAATAATAATAATAACAAAACCTCTAAATACTTAAATAACAAAATTTAATAATATTTTTTGCCTAAATTACATATATAATAAATTATAAATAAATTTTTTAATTTCATATAAAAAAATCTTTGTAAGTGGAAACATTTTTATGCTTAAGTTTTTATTCTGTAATTATCTAAAATTTAATTTTATTATTTATATAAATATGATATAAATATAATATACACTATAATAATAAAGATACCTTCAAACTACTTCAACAAAAATAAATAAAGATTAGACAATTAAAAAATAAAATTTAAGCATAACAATTTTTTCTACTTAAAATTTTTTTGATATAAAACCAAAAATAAATTTCATAAAAAAAAAAAAATTAAAAGAACAAAACCTCTAAGTGCTTAAAAAATAAAATGTAATATTTTTTTTCCTAAAAAAATTAATTTTAACTTAAAAACTTTCCGCTTCAAAATGGTCCTAGTTATTATTTGTACACTTAAATATGTAGCAAATAAACTTTAAATTTATCATTAAATAAATATATGCGAGAAATTAATATCAAATCGAGCTAAATTCTTTGGAAAAAAAATTTCCCCATCAAATTGAGCGAAATTCCTTGAAGAAAATATGTGAAATCCACTGAAATCCATAGTTACTGCACACTGTCCTTCGCATAAATTGCCAATATACCAAACCATAGCATAACATACTCCTACATACATATACATGTATGTATATACACATGCACATACAGTTATTGGCCACCAGCCAGACAAACAGACGCGCAGAATCGCTTGTCAGGTTGAACATCAAAAATTGTGCAAATAAGTAAGTTGTCACTTGTTTGTTTGTTTGTATTTATGTGCTTATGTTCTAAAATCCACACGTTTGTGCATGCAGACATACAAGCACACTTATGCACATACATACATACATATCTAGTACAATAACTGTTTGCGTTGTTATTCTATTATGTAAATATACTACTATATATATATATATATATATATATATATATATATATATAAATATGTATATGAATATGGTATTATAAGTATTTTGTCAGTTCGTTGCCGTTACCGTTGCCACAGCGGCTCACAGTGAACTACATACACGTACAAACATACATACATATTTCATTATTTATTAACATATCATTGTATGTAAGTAGGTAGATATGTATGTGAGTACGTTGGCAAACAGACATTGTTAGCATTTACATATTTACCTATGTATGCACCTACACACACAGTGTACTTATGTACGTTATAGCGGCTGTTGTCCTTTAATATTGAAGTTTGATATTTTTATTTGTATCACGCACACACACGTGCATATGCAGTATTATTATTGTAGGTATGTACATAAGCAAGAGATTGTTATTATTTATTTGACCGTTTAGTAATTTCCACTTGCCACCATGCCACCTGACCGTTATATGGCGTGAATTTTTTTTTTTTAATAATTTTTCTTTTTGTTGTTCTCCGTGCAACGTGCACACCGTACAGTACACACCGCACACACACACACACACTTCACACTCTGGGCATTACAAGCGTACAACTTAATCAGGATATCCGTCGGCGTGTATTTGTTTTGCCCTTTACACTTTACACTTTGCGCACACTTTCCGCTTCCTGCTTTCGCTTTTTAATTTTTAATTCGCTTTACACGAAGCCTGTGTTTGCCGTAATTTCTTTTATTATTGTTTATGTTACGTTTTAATTCCGTTTCTTGCTCTCCCACACTCTGCCGCTCGCAGCGCGTTCTAGATGTGCATCATCATCATCATCAACATCTTCACCATCATCATCAACATCATCATTATGATCTTTATTTATTATGCCACACCAAATTCAAAACATCCGTTCCGTCGGTCGTTGTCTGATTTATGTTTTGTATGTTTGCGGCAGAGCAATCACCGTTTCTTGCGTTTGTGCACGTCGCGAGGACAGTTGTAGAATACTAACGCCAGCAGCAGTCGGTCTCGTTTTTATATCCGGCTCATTGTTGCGGCATTTTGCACACGAAGCATGCCGAACGGACGAGACAGTGTGGCAGTGTTCGTAAACGTTTTATGGCAGCAAAAAAGGCTGCTGCTACTTTCACTTTTTGTGGTACGTTTTTCGGGTGGTTGCATAAATGAGTTAACTATAAAATTTAAAATATATTTTTTTTTTAATTTTTCGCTTCAAGAAAATCATAAAAAAAATTAGCATAAGAAAAGACAGGGAAATCGAATTTAAAAGCGTAAATTCAGACATATTTCTTTGTATAGGGTTAAGCATTTCGTGGCTGCAAAAAAAAAAAAAAACAGGCCTGTATTCTGACATCTATCCCACTGAACTGTCAAACCGCTATTTGGCGCCAATTGGAAATACCAAGCAGAACCAGATACTTCTTTACCTGGTCTTTGCAACGCAGTTGAGGTCGTACTCTTCCTCTGCTTCCAACGGCGGGTACTGCTTCGAAAATATTCAAAGCTCGAGTATTCTTATCCATCCGGACCACATGACCAAGCCCACGCAGCCGCTTCTTCTTGATTCCCTGAATTATTTCAAAGCAGTCGTACAACTCGTACACCTCAGCGCTCCATCGGCTGCGGTATTCGCCGTTACCAACTCTTAGGGAACCATAAATTCTACGCAAAACCTTTCTCTCGAAAACTCCCAACGCCGTCTCATCAGCTGTTGTCATCTTATATAGCTTGGTTTTCGTTCGTCGGGACAGGACTTTGCTTTTAAAATTGCCTACTCAGTCCAAAGTAGCACCTGTTGGCGTTATTATTGGTGTTAATGCTGATTCCTAGATAGACGGATTAGCTCCGGCTTCAAAGTTAAGAAGCCGAGTCGCGATTGCCATGACAGTTTGTTTGATCACAAGAGATATTTCATCTTGCCCTTGCTCACTACCAGCCCATATCCTTCGTTGTGTGGTGTATGTGTTTCGGTCCGCTTTTGACGGGACCTACCAGGTCTGAAGCCAGATAAGGTCTAATGAGTTTGTTGACGATGGGCTTTGTCTTTTGCACAAAATGCTAGAGAGCACCTTATATACGATGTTATGGAGGCTTATTCTACGGTAATTGGCGCGGACGGTGTGGTCTCCTTTTCTATGGATTGGGCAGAGCACACTTAAATTTCAAGCGTCGGATATGCTTTCGTCCGACCTTATCCTTATTCAAACCTCGTCATGGTGAGTAACACACATCGATTGGTATTAATTATCGGATTAATCATCTCCGCGTGTCTCCTTTTGCACTGCCATTCAGTGTGCTCAGATCTCGGAACCTTCTGTAAGCCGTCGTATATTCTCATAGATTTTCCGATCATTATACTTGTCGGCCAGCATCATCAGATACACGCATCTCGGTGTAGTGGTCGATCACAACTTTGCAAGCTTGCTTGAGACTAAATCCTACATCCATAAAAAGTCGAGCCCATACAACAATAGAAGCCAGTTGACTATTCACTATAAGGAGCGAATGGCGATTTTTCGAACGAAAAAAATTCTTCATAGACGTGGCACATTCTCTGGTGGACTCTTTGGTTCGTAGGTGGTAGTGGACAACGGCGAGTCCGCCACTGTTAATTCAAACTGTTATGGTTAGATATTAATCGAATCTTTTTGGTCTGTAATTGAAGATCACGACTTGGGCAATATGTGGTTTTGACAAGATGACACTTAAACGAGTGAATTTGACTTAATTGCGAGAGAAATTTCTCGACCGCGTAATCTCTCTACAAAGCGATGGCATTTGGTCACCGAAATCCTGCGATTTGCCATCTTTGGAAATTTCTTGTGGGGCTACCCGTAAGATCGTGCTTATGAGGTTAAACCTTTAACCCTTAAGTGCTTCCAAAACTAACATTTGGCTAGTTATAGCTGAGATACCGCCCAAATGTACCAAAAAATGATCGAAAATTACCTCAAATGGATCGAAGTTTGCGAAAATTCGCAAGATGGTCACTCGAATGATGTAGAGCTCTACCTATATAAATATATATATATTATAATAAAAAAAAAATTTGTGAAAAAAATTATTTCAAATATATGTTAGTTTTCGAAACCGCAAAATAGTGAACCCTGGATTTTGGATACATGGTGCCCAAGAAGAAAGAAAATGCATCCAAAGTTATGGCCAAAGGTAAATATAGAGTTCGCCATTATGCATTGAAAGGATTTCGGACAAGTGATCGCCACGGCTGGCTCGAATAAATTCAAGTCAAGGGACCCAATTCTTACTTTATGACCGAATTCGGATTGCATGTCAGCCATAGAAATACAGATGATCGGGTACCGGCAATGCTAGTAGGTTGATACCCGATCGATACTCGTTTCATGCTCAACAGCTGAAAAGTTTGTTTTCTTTAGTTTTTCAATGAGCGATGTTAAATCTCTCGATATTGGAGGTCACACACACCACAAGGCCACGACATGAGATAATGGGCTCATCAAAAGTTTCCTTCACGAAATTGAATTAGTTGTAAGTCATGTAGCATCGCCTTGTTGGAAACGTTCAAATCAACATCCTTCAACTCAGGCACGAAAAATTCCTTAATCTTGGCTCTTTTACGTTTCCCATTGACTATAAAATTATGACTGGTTTCATCTTTGTAGAAATATGGATTTTTAATTTCAATTGCGCATGGAACAATTGAGAATATAAGGTCGTCTCAACAATGGCTTGTGGATAATGTATCCTTGTAAAAAAAAGTTTGAAGCTCACTGAACAAAATTTTCTTGTGCCCATCTTGTTTCGGATCTATTCACGAATCCACCGATTGTTGGTCGTCGAGCTGAATTTTGTAAGCCCAAAAACCAAGACCCGTGCATAAAAACTTCCATAATTTTTTTTTTCAAAATAACATTAATTAAATTAAATTAATTAAAAATAACTTTAATTCAAAATGTATTAAAAAAAATTGGTTTTTTAAAGAAAAATTTTTTAATAATATTTCCATAAGTGTCAGTATTTTATATGAATTAAAAATAAAAAATAAAAATAAAAGATTTGACTATAATTTATTTAGCATATATAATAGTTTTTATTCCTGTTTAGATGTATTCTTGCTGCAACAAAGAGAGTGTATAAAGTAAATAAAATTTGTTTGAGTGAAAAGCCTTAAAAATTTGAGAGCCACTGTTTGGTTATCAGAGCAATCAAACTGCCGATAATCTGGTAAATGCTGTTGTGTTTCTTTTCATTTCAATAAATAAATAAAAGCACAAATGGAATAAGAATTCCATATTTATTATTCTTAAACAGTTTAAAAGCGTTTTCAAAAAACTTTTTCAAAACCAGCAATTTTGTAATATTTTGCCTTACTGCTTTTCAATAAATGTAAGTTTCTTCACGAAAACCTTTATTTTATTTTTTGTTATTAAGGGAATGGCAATGCGTTAAATATTGGCTAATTTTAGACTACTTTCTAGTGAATCAAAAAAAAAAAAATATTTCTATTGTAAGTAAAAACTTAGCGCATACCTCGACCCACACGCATAACCAAATTGTGTACTTTTACTCTTTTGATTTTCGTAGAATGTGTTGTAAGCTTTCTTAATTTCATTTCGGCATGCAACAGTGATTTAAAGTATTGAGCGCCAAAGCAAAGCAGATTTAATTTAATCTCAACGCATGGAATTTTTGATGGCTTCGTTTTCAGTTTATTTTGCTAAAAATGTGTAGGAAAGTAACTAAATATTTATGTATATAATGCCAATAAAGAAGTTTGTGAAAATTTGTGTGCGTGTGCCTGACTCTGTATAATGGATATGTAAAAAATAGTCTCCCTCAGTGGCTTATCAGCGTAGGACTTAGTCAAATAATTTTGAGTGGCTCTTTGGTCAGCCACTTATTTTTATTACCAAGAGATTTTTACAGAGACCTAAAAAATGATAGTCTGATGGTGTCAAGTCTAGGCTATTTGATGGGTGTAACTAAATTTCACAACCAAGCTGCGTGAAGTTTCACCTGGACATCAAAGATGTATGTGGTCTAGCGTCTTATTGAAGAAACATAATACCTTTTCTATTAAATAATACTGGACTTTTTCTGTTTTGAAGAACCTGCTGCAAGCTGATGGGCAGCAGAGCTATGAATTGACTGTTTCGTCAGGTTGTAGCAGCTCGTAATGGACCATTCCATAACAATCCCACCATTCACTCCACTCAGTATCAACTTGTTTGCCATTAATTGGGGTTTTGAAGTTGTTTGTGTAGAGTCACCGGCCTTCAAGACAGCGGATACTGGCCAAGGGCTGTCACCCTTTCGGCGACTTAAGCCCATTTATTTCAACACGAAAGAGCATTAATGTCGGAACCATTATTCCTGATGGTTTATCCAGTTAGCCAACCTCCAAGACGACTTCGTGCAGTTTTTAAAGATAGGAGTAAGGAAGAAGGATTGTGCCTTAGTAAGGTATATTGTCAAACTGTTGACGTGTTCCCAGGTCTAATCTTGATCTAAGAACTCATCAGGTGAGTGTTGAAATACCTTGGGATTGCAAAAGGTCTTTTTTTTTCTTCGATTGATATATGGATGCATTGTCCTGCTGAAAAATGAATGGAGGGTGAAAAAAATCTTCCGCGAAGATCACAATAACTTCGTCTAACAACTGCACATTATCATCCGCGTCCATTTGGTGAAAGCAAAGTCTATTGAAGTGCTTCTCTATAGCTTGAAGCTGTAGAGAACGTCATCCAAAGTTTCCCCTTTAGCGCCATTTCCTCATTTTTTATCGGAATCATTTGGAACCAATTTCATTTCCACTGAAAAGATAACAATTTTCCAATACTCATCGCTGAATCAGTCACCAGAAAATGCACTTTTTAACAAATAGAAGCCATGAAGGTTAAGAATTACCACTACAAAGGATGTGGCCTTGTGTAGTTAGGAAACTTTTTAACTGCCATTCACCAGGGATTGGCTAGAAACGTTCCTTTTA